ATTGTAGACATCATTCAGACCTTGGAAAGTTCTCATTTATTGCTGGTTTTTGTTTTCACAATGCAAATCCAAAATTCTCTCTATTCCTTCAACTTTATGACAGCTTTTCTCAACTTCCTTGACAAAGTCAAGGTGCCTTCCATTTGGGCACTGCTGACATCACTCACCCTCCGATCTGCATATATACTCTACTTTGCCCTTACAAAGAAATCATATAAATTCTTCCATTTCTTCCTTCATTATACTGCTGAAGTCCATTGTCTTCCTTCACCCAAATTATCAGTCTCAATCTTCCACCTTGGTTTATCAGTCAGACCCCTCTCTGCAAATACATAAAACCTACATTCTTCTTATCAGGCCCATTCTAAACATCCTACCACTTCTGAGGCTTTCCCATTTCCTCTGAATCACTAGAAATACTTGCAACTCAAAGGGTCCTGACTATTTAACATTTTATTTATTCTGTGCTCTGCCTATGTAAGTGCTGATGATTTCCATTATAAAGTTTGTTGCATCTCTCAAAAGTTCCACAGCATTGTCTTGCTCCCAGACTTCTTAGCTACTGGCATTACCTACAAGTTTTGTAAAGGTAATTCAGAAATGCAAAAATTGAGGAGGGATTTGAAAGTCAAGAATTTCTAGAGTTCTCAGCACCCTATTCTGTTGAAACCATTTAATTTCTTTACTGAGATCTACTTCTCTTTTCTCCACAGAACATTCAAAGAGCAGCTACATAGCTTCTTCTGGAAGTAATGCCTCCTATTTATGCTCATAGTAACTACAACAGATACAATGAGCACAAGACGACTACTTGATAGAGAAAACTCTCCACAACAACACAGTATTTTTCAAGATAATCACCACTACTAGCTATGCATTTTTGCCAGTGGTGAATAATAACCTTCATGCCATTCTTGCTAAAATCTGCACTAGTAGAGGTGACCCACTCTTTCACAGCTGCTGTGACAACACCGCTGCTAGGAAAGTGTTGCCCACATAGTTCATCTTCCATCTGCCCAAACAGATCAAAGCCAGAAGGCATCAAATACAGACTGTACAGTGGGTATGGTAGAACAGCTCAGCCAAGAACAGCAATGTGCTCCATGGTCTTCAGACTGGTCAGAGGCCTGGCATTATCATGGTGCAAGAGAAAGGTTTTCTTCTTCTCTTGTCTGATTCTGGAGGTTAGAGCCTTCAGTTTGGCCAGCATCATGACATAGCAGTCAGAGTTAATGGTTTGTCCAGCTTGTAGAAAATCCCCAAAAATGATCACTCATTTCCTATCCCAAAAGACAGTGCATATCAATTTACCCAATGAGGGCTGTGTTTTGAACTTTTACTCCAATAACGAATTCACACATTGCTACTACACAAACTGCCTTTTTGACTCCAACTCATTTCTGGGAATTAAATCCAGGAAATTGTCACCTTCAGCCTTGTATTGGTTCAATATATCCTGACAAACTTGCATAGTGTGTTATTTCTGTTCCTGTGTGAGCATTCATGGGAGCCATCTGGCACAAACTTTGCAACATTCCAACATCGCCACCACAGTTTCCAATGCATTGATTCAGCTCCACACACAATTTCCTGGTTGTAATTCACCAATTAGTGTGGATGAGCTGTTCAAGATGCTCTTCATTTTGTAGTACACATGGCTATTCCAGAATATGGCTTGCCTTTCACACTGCCGTCATCACTGCTGAAAAACACTACCCACTGCCTCACTATGCTCACGTACACTGTTTGGTCAATGTTCAGCATGCACTGATGAATCTCAATGAGTGTCATTTTTTCTGCATGGAGGATTTCAATGATACACCTTTGCTTCATGCACACTTCTGTGTAAGACTGTAATCTGTTACACAGCAACAAAATATAAGGGAATATTGCTGGGAAGGTTCAATCTCTACTGCCATATTACCAACATCCACCTTTGAGGTCACAAAGGGTGAACAAAATAAATTAGGAGGCATTACTTTCAGAGCAGCCCCCACATATATACATACATACATACAATTATTGTAGACTTACAATAGTTAACCTGGTCATTTATTCTACTAATGAGTTCAAAGTCACGTGAACCCACACCTGACTTGCTTTAAACACTGAAGTGATGGTTACATCTTATATTACTGTTTAATAATGGGCTGAATAAACTTTGCTACAGCAGCATAGTTTTGCAGTAAGTATTCAGACATATGTAACAAAACTGCAAAACTTAGAGCTCCCCACTTGTTAAGGAAGAGCGGTGAAAGACATAAGGTACAGAAAAACAAAAATTACAAATTGGGCTCTTTGAAATTATATATTTATTTCTCAGCAAATTAAAAACAACTTCAGTTCTCAGCAAATTAAAATATGCTGGTTTTTTCTGCTACAGTTTATCCATAAGAAGCCAAGGTAAAGTAGAATTTACTTTTAATTTACACTCCATTGTTGAGCAGAATTACTTACTGACCTCAAAATAAGAACTTTGAAAACAAGGAGTCCAAGCTAGCCTTGGAAAACAGAAATGCATCCAGGGAATATGCGATATAACTCCTCTAGCACTTCTTCATTTGCAGCGTTTACCTTACAAGACTTGGAAGTTTAACAAGGCCCAAGGGGCATACCCCGAGGAGGTCAGGTTAAAAACAGATTTTATCATTTGTTTGCAACAACCTAAATCTTCACGTAGGCTTTGCTTTCAGGGAAGTGATACTAAATTATTTGCAAACTAATTTGTCATAACAGGCCCACTGTAAAAGATGTTGCTCAAAGGCATACCTGCCATATATTTCTAAATGGATTAGAAGTCAATTAATGTTTAAAAAGCTTTAGGCATTTTGTTTAATGAAGAGATTAAGTGTAATGCCAAAAAAACCCTTCTCATCTGTCTGGAATACATGTTGTTACATGCTTTACAGTTACTTAAGCACACAAGTGAGAAAATGGCAAGGCTCTACGCACATATCAACTCCTCACTGTTTAGAAGACAGGCAAATTTAATGAGTTCAGTTTAACAGAAACTGTAGTTATTTATCTAGTTTGAAAATGCAGATAGAAGTAAAATAGATAAATAAGTATAACCAAGGTTACATATGCAATTAACTGGTCACCTCCAAACTGCAGGATTTCAGAGCATTTTTGGTCCATGGATACTTTAGCAAACAAGCTATGAAGGTACACACACGAGGTGTGAGGGTACAGCATATGTGGAAAGAAAAAAGTTAAGTACTGAGAGTTCATATTTAACTTGGCTGTATTAAGAAATTTAGATAAGAAACAGTAAAAGCCCTGTGGTCCTGAAAAGGATTAGAAAAAAGCAATTCAGGGGATGAGTCAAGGAAGAAAAGAGTTAAGTGAGAACAGACAGAAAGACAGGGGCAGAACTCAGCTATTCAGATGGACTGATGAAGTTTAAAAATTCTTCTTATCAGTTCTGATAAAAACTTATTTGTATGTTACTGTACCCTGCTGTCTGACAACTCATGCACCTGGCTATTGTGTCAGTTCCCAAGGAAAATGGCAGGACCATAAACCTGAAATGAAACACTTGAGTCTCACATAAAAAGTACAAGTTAGGAGACAAATGCAAAGAGGAACATAACAGTGAACAGAGAAGATGAAGAGGCTGATTATGATCAGATAACTGACAGCCAGAAAGAAACAGCGGCTTGCAGAAGATGCGTAAATCCCAGTGACAGAAATGGAACTCGCAATCAAAACAGCAGGATAAGGTCATTCAAGGATAGAGTCCAACACAAAAGGAGGACCAGGAGGTGGAGAGACTTGCTAAGCAAAGGGAAGAAAAAAGAAAACAGAGACGTTTAATGCAGATGATCACGGTTAAATCATCTTTCAAAAATATTTTTTTCTTTTGACTGACACTTTTAAAAAGTCTAAGCAACAGAGACTTAATCTTTTTTAGGCACTTTAAAGATATAAGAAATTGACATAAGCAAGACAAAACATGGCCAAATTCCTTTCCTTTAACAATAACAACAATAAAAAAAGACTGATTTAATGACTTGATCATACTCAAACTACCTATATAATAAAGAAATTTGTTAGAAGACTGAGGTTACCAGACCACACTGAAATGAAACCTAAAAGCTGAAAGCTAACAGTAGCTGCATTTAGACTAGCAAAAGAGAAAAAAAAAAAAAAAAGGAAATGAAACTGTTGTAAATTCACACACTCAAATTATTTCACAAATGTGCCAACCCACAAGATATCAGATTTGACCATAAAGCAGCTCCACTGCAAAGTATTTCTCTACATGAGAAAGATCAAGTTGTGAATCTTCTATTCACCTACATCTTAAATTCTCACTTATCTACAAGTATCACTCAGAATTCATTTTATGACGCACTCTTAGAATACTAAATTTCTCCAAAAACTTCCTTTTGATAAAACCTTCTACCATATCTCCAGTTACTGAACCCCTTTCCTGTGACAGAACTTGAACAAAAGAAAACATTAGTCATCTGCAACTGTAAGTAGTACAAAGAAAAAAATGTTTCAATAGTAAGGAATAAAACAAATTACTTCATTTACTTAATACCAAATATTACTCTAGTAAGAAAGTTATAGATGGGATATGAAAACATACTGTCCATGAGATCAATAATAGGCTCCCAGTTCAGACTTCAGACTTATCAAATGTAGAATATACATAATACAAAGTATTGTGACTTGCCACATATCTCACAAAAACAGTTTCACTTCACCCTAGAATGAAACTAATAAGCTTCACATAAGCTAGTCCAATTTATGGTCAATCGTAAATGCCCTTGGAAGAACTGCCCATGCATTTTTATTCACCTTTTGAATGATTTACAGCATTGCAACAAAGCTGCTAATAACAAATCAACCAATTTCACCTAATTTAAAGAGCTGGAGGAGAAAATATCTATAAAATGTTCGCTCACATACTTTGAACTATTTGAGTTTGTGAAAATACCGTTCCTTAAGATTAGAAACAGTTAATAATTGTGTGAAGCATTAGTACTTACTTGTCTCCAAAGAACTTCCTCCAGAAATCTGCAGCATCTGCTTTGGTGATACGAAAGTTATCACCCTGGAATTGGCCATTTGGAAAAATAGCCTTGATTTCTGCTAGCATGTGGCTGAAGATGAGGGACAGCTTAGTTAAGTTCCTCCTGTGGATTTAATAGAAAAAAAAGTAATTTTTAAACGTGAATATATCATTTAGAATCTCATCTATCCAGTATATTTGTGTAATAATCACCATCTGACAAAACAGAAACATGGTGCTTTCTACTGAAAACACATCAAACAAGTACAAAGGAGTAGTATGTGTTTGTATGCACTTTTCAGTACATATTTACCATAGGTCTCTCTGAATATAAATCAAAACCAAAAGAAAAACCCCATAAAATTTATTTTTATATGTTACCTCAAAACTATTTTAGTGCAGGTTTCTAAAAATATAAATATGGCACAGGACTAGCTTTACTCTTCGTTCCTATGACAATTGTATTCTTTTTATTCTATCCAGCTTTTTCATACTGGAGCTACTTCCTATTTTTCTCTTACACGCCCCCTCTTTAGTTAAAGCTTGCTTTCAATTTTCACTGCCATGTTAGAAACAAGATCAAACTTCTTTTAGGCTACCAGTCCATTTTCACAAGATATCCAGCCTTTATGCCAGTTCAGCAAAAAAAAAAAAAAAAAAAAAGTAGTTTTTTGCATAGAAATCTCAGCATAATGAAAATAACACTGTATCCTTAAATGCAGATCATCCTTCACAACATAAACTGTGGGAGGCGGGGGGGGACAAGAAGGAAGAATGGTGAAGCAATCTTTAGGAGACTTTCCTCCTGTAGATTTCTTTGGCTATGCTGGCAGTTGAAAAGAGATACTTCCCCAATTGATATATTCAACAGAAAAGACTCAGGAGACTGACCAGCTTCTAATGAAGAATTAGTGTTCTTACGTATCTTTAATAACACAGAAATGCTCTGTGTCAAGCCCATTCATCTGTCACGATCTCCAGTACTACTTCACAAAGCTTCAAATGTTTTAATGGAAATCATAATAAAATTATGCTTATCAACAATGCAGTTAATAACTGCTTACATTCAATATTTTAAGTAAATTCAAAATTATTCATGAGTCCCTAGTCATATTAAAAAAACAAGATTCATGTGATAGATTTTTTACACGTACACACCAAACAGGTTCCAAAATACGAATAACAATTTTTCATTCTCAAAATAGCAGAGCTGACTTCCCAGGGTCTTCCTAAAAGAACTCTCATTTTAGCACTGAAGTAATAATTACTTCAGCCAAATTTTTGTGCAACTTATAATAGAGATCCCTGCAGAAGCTGTACTGCAGATTTTCCTACAGGTCTTGCTATGAGGGAACATAGGATAAAGACAGCTATTTTGAAAATAGAAGCAACTTTAAAAAATTTTTAAAAAGGTCTTAATCTAGTGAGGAGGAAGAGAATATCCATCAGAATGACTGTAGGACTAATTCTTTCAGTCCTTTAATTCCTCCAGTATAATCAGATGTCTGTAATTACGATGCTCAACTGTTCCTTATTTTCTGGATTTGTTCCTCGCTATCCCCCCTTCCTGTTTCCTTTGTACTTTAATTGCACGCACATGTTTTTTATTATTTTATTCCTCAGAACTCAATCCTGATGCACAGAAAAAGCAACAGCTATTTTAATGTGGCTTCATCAGCCTGACTTAGAATCAAGATCAGGCAAGAACCCTCCTATACCTAGGATGTATGAGAACATCATTCAGCGCAAGTTTTAACAGAGCTCTCCCTTGGCTGGCACACAATGTATGTGTCTACATTGTCTACAGTTGCAATTTACTGTGCTTCAGGGGTTCTTTTCAGGTATGAATTTGCCTAGTGAACTATTATATTACAAAGCTTGTTGGATTTGTGAGGCTTCAGCAAACTAAAGGATGAAGTCATGCACGGCTCCACCTGGGGCACCCTCCCTGCACTGTCAACAGAAGGCACTTCCTTGCCTGGAGGGCAGCATGTGGCTGCACACACACACACACTGTCTGACAGACATAGCTGCACAGTATGTGACCAAACCAACTATTGACAGGAACTTGCCAGCAAACCTCCGGAACAATCATGACAGGACTGTATCTGAATCGCAAACTCTGGCTTGAACAAGGCCACTCATGACGTGTATAAGCACACTTCTTTTTCAAGTCAGTTAGATAAAGAGGAGTTGAGAGAAAACTGCCTTTGGTCAATGTTCGTATAAATGAGAAAAAACGGTTTAGCATCAAACTAAGATATCTTTCTTTATGATTGCAAAGCTGAAACTTGACACAACCTAGAACCTTATCTGTGCCTGAACATACACCACAGCATGTATAAATAGCAAATTCTCAATCATTTGTATATATATGGTAGCTGTTTCTTCCTTAATTATGGTTCTTGCTCTACTAGATGATTATCTCAAGTTCCTCATATCAAATAACGATAAATTATGTTGTCTTAACTTTCCACTTACATAATTTTCTTCAAAATTGTAAAGCACATACTGCACCCTTTTTGCTTAGATATGTTTACATGATACCAGAGTTCAGTCACTTATGGGACATACAAAGCACAACAATTTCAGGAATGCTTTTCAAGAGTAATGCAAGGTGCAGAGATGAAGCCATCAGGACGAGCCACCAATTTTATACTGTGCACTTTTCTCTCCTGACCATGGTTACCTGTTCTGGCAAAGGCAATTTTGCTATTCTGCGGAGGGCTTTCCCAGACATCACAAGATGCACATATACAACTAACAACCTGGATGCCTCTGAAGCTCTGTTCTCTATGTTAAATCCTTTTTCTTCCCTCATATCAAGATGGATCAGTATCAAAACTTTTCCAGCTTATTCCCCATGCAGAAGTGTATGACCAGGTATTCAAATCCTAATTATATGAAAACTAACAACTAAACCCATCAATTTTGTTTTGTTGGTAAATAATCCTAAAGAAAGACAAAGTGATCAATTTTAGCCACCTATACTAAGTCTCACTGACAACACAAAACAAAGGAAACCAATCCTGCTCAAGTCAGGTCAGCATCTCTGACTTTAATGCTGGATTGTTTCCTCATGACAGTGTGGAATGTTGCAGTGGCAGAGCGTGATGTGAACACAACCTTGTACTGGAGTCTGGTAGCGCAGAAAAGCTGGCAGAATCAAGCTCTGGAGTGACCCCTCAACACAACAAATTCTAGCAGGGAAGAGATATCTTAATGGATCATTCTGAAGCAACACTTCAATTAAAAAACAAAAGTTACCCAATTAATAGGGAAACAACGGTTTTAATGCCTGAGAAGCTGCCTTCAGGGTTTACAGATATATTATACTTCCAGTGGCAACCTGGAGCAAGATAAAGGTGTGCTTTCTTTCCTCAGCTGTTTTGTGCCTGATTTAGAGTACAGACATCTCCTTTATTTATGTACAGAGAATGGGTATCATGCTGATGAGAACAACCTTATTTTTCAGAAATTAGAATCAAATAACACTGTTTTGTTTTAGAAAAGTGAACTGAGATGATCATTCTTCACAATTTAATTGCTACTGTGGTAAGATTTAAGAATATTTTAACTGTAAATTACGGTAGATCAACTGCATTTTATGTAACAGATATTGTTGGTCTCTTCCACAGTATCTGCAACATACTCATCACCAGTTACTGGATGATTTCTCTATAATTCATGGTTAGCTTTTGCTAACTCTCTTCTGCTAACTCAAGCAGATGCCATACAGCTCAACCCCCTTGCAGAATTTTACTTTGAAAGTACCAGTTCTTCAGTCATACTCAGTTGTTTATCAGACATGTTTGTACAGTTAATGGATAGCATCAAATTTGCATATTCTGGACAATGTATTTAAAGCCTCGTGTAAGCTTTGAATTCACCCCAGAATGCATAAGAGACAAAGATGAAAAATCAAATTTTCAGTTGGCATAAACTTACAAAAGTCTGTTGCCTCAGTAAACATATTTGGTTAGTCAGAAGAAGGAAACATTTTCTTAATTTCAGAATTACCACCTTTTGAAGTAATAAATCAACAGCAAGTTTTCTGAAAAACAGATGATAAAGACTGAAAAGAAGAATCTTGAGTTTGTTCACTTTTCTGTAAAATGTATCTTCTGAATCATTTTTCTCTTCAACTTTACAAAGTGAAGGTAGGCTAGAGATTGCTGCATTGATTTCAAAACAGGAGTTTTCACATGCCCAGCTATAAACAATTTGAAAATAAGGCTCACTATTGGAAATATTACAACATCCTGGCCATAACCAGAGCAGCAGCACCTAGCAGTAGAACGTCTGAAGCAGTCCTGTTCTCCTGGATCTATAAAACAGGAAAGTGAGGCATGACCAGCATGCAATAACAGAATTAAGTTTTGGATGTTTCAACTTTCTAGCTACTGCATGAAAGCTAATCTTACTTTTGAAAGGCAATATGGTCTAGCAAACAGAATTGGATAGGGAATTAGGCAGTGTCATTTCCTTTCTGTCACTAGCCTGATCAATGAGGTGGGGTGAACACCTGTGTCCTGCATTTACTGCCTGCATATGAGGAGGAATGAAATAAAATACTCTGAGAGCTCTAAACACACACAGTTGACAGAATCAGCATATAAATAAATACACAAAGCAAAGCATACACCTGGACTTTACATCCTTTGTAATTACTGGATTTCACAGACTATAATCAAAACATAGTCATTTTTAGCAATCTCTAGCTAGATCTCACCCTCAAAATTGAAAATGCATAAACCTGCTTAAATATTGTTCTACTTCCATGCTTGCAAATCATTCTGTCCCATGAAAGTGATTATTTTTGTTTTGCAACTACATACATTTCTAGCCAAAAAGAAACATGATATATTAAAGAAAAAAATCACTGTTCAACTTTTCAGACACATTATTTCAAAAATTAGATTACCACCACGTTTCCTTCATTTCACTTCTAGTATCTCTGCCCCCACATACATACTCCCTTTTTCTACGCAGCTATCTGCTTTAACAAATAATATATCAACTCTCCAAGTTCATAATATATGTCAGTTGCAGGCACAAAAAAACCAAAACAAAACAAAAACAAAAACCCAGCCTTTTTTAGAGCTAGGAACAGATCTGTTTGGC